AACCCAGAGGGAGAACAGCAGGAAGTAGCTACGGAAGAACACTTGCCCGAGGGGCCCTCCCTAGGGGTCAACCCAGAGTTCCAAACAACACAAACTTTTTTCCAACTTATATTAACTAAGAGTCGGGAAATGTTACAATGCCCACTACTATAACGGTCCTCGGAGGGAGGGGGAGAGAAAGGAGGATGGGGCTTCTATCTTCAAAATTGGATGAGCAAGAAGAATTGGGGCTGTTGGTCTGAGAGAAGACTGTGTCCCCCGCAGTCCGCCGGTGACAATAAAGCGCTCATTTACAATTTGGCTGTGCGTCTGTTATCTCGCTGATACATTATAACAGTATAACAAAGAACATTTAATTTTTAGGGAGAATACTGTCATGACAACACACCTATAGTTTGAATATAGCTACCTATAATATATGTAAGTTAAGTACATTATTTTGTGAACATAAACTTAGAATGTCTGGAGATTACAAACATGGAGTGTATTCTTGTGTGAACCCTGGCTTCAATTTTTAAAAAAAAATTATCTTTATTGTTGAAAAGTATTACAGATGTCCCCCTTTTTTTCCCCATTGACCCCCTCCTCCTCCTCCCCTCTTGCCTTCCCCACACTGTTGTCTGTGTCCATCGGTTATGCATATATGCATACAAGTTCTTTGGTTTATTTCTTTCCATGACCCCGCCCCCCAGATTCATCAGTTTAACAACTAATTTGTACTTCTTTTTTTTTTAAATTTTCACCTGAGGAAATTTTTGTATTTATCTTCAGATAGAGTGGGAGGGAGAGAAAGGGAGAGAGAGAAACATCTATGTGAGAGGGACACATCGACTGGTTGCCTCCCGCAAGACCCTGACCAGGGCCTGGGATGAACCACAACCGAGGTATGTGCCCTTGACCAAAATTGAACCTGCGACTCATTGGTCCACAGGCCAACGCTCTACCACAGAGCCAAACTGGCCAGGACCCAATTTGTACTTCTTATTTTATTTATTTATTTATTTTATCCTCACCCGAGGACATTTTTACACCTTTTGTACAGACAGAGTGGGAGGGAGAGAGAGGAAGAGAGAGAGAGGGAAACACCGATGTGAAAGGGACACATTGAGTGGCTGCCACCCGCACGACCAACCAGGGCCGGGGACAAACTGCAACCGAGGTACATGCCCTTAGCGGGAACCGAACCTGGGTCATTCAGGACCGCAGGCCGACACTCTAACCGCTGAGCCAAACTGGCCAGGGCCAATTTGTACTTCTTAATTCCTTCACCATTTTCACCCATTCTCCAAACTGTCCTCCCATCTGGCAACTATCAAAAAGTTCTCTATGAGTCTGTTTCTGTTCTGTTTGTTCATTTTGTTTTTGTTATTTTTATTTTTATTTATTTATTTATTTATTTATCCTCACCCGAGGACATTTTTCCATTTTTGTTCAGATAGAGCGGGAGGGAGAGAGAGGAAGAGAGAGAGAGAAACATCGATGTGAAAGGGACACATCGAGTGGCTGCCACCCGCATGACCAACCAGGGCCGGGGACAAACTGTCAACCGAGGTACGTGCCCTTAGCGGGAACTGAACCCGGGTCTCTCTGTACCGCAGGCCGACGCTCCAACCGCTGAGCCAAACTGGCCAGGGCTGTTCATTTTTTTGTAGAGTCAGTTGTTTTTTGTGGTTTTTTTTTGGATGGTGCATGGGGAATTTTCAAACTTTCATTGATGTGTGTTGTGGGAGGTTGTGTTCCCAAAGGCCGCCTGAGAAATGGAGATGACAACCGGGTGGAGAAGAATCCCTAATAAACTGTGTTATGGGCTGCATTTGGGGAAGCTGAGATTCCTCATCACGTAGAGTCAATTGTTGATAGAAGAGCTTCCCAGACAAGAAAAAGCTAAAGGAGTTCATCACCACCAACCTAGTATTATATGAAATGTTGAAGGGTCCATATTTGCATGATTTAGATGAATGATTTTTTTTTTTTTTTATCCTCACCCGAGGACATTTTTCCATTTTTTGTTCAGATAGAGTGGGAGGGAGGGAGAGGAAGAGAGAGAGAGAGAGAAACATTGACGTGAAAGGGACACATCGAGTGGCTGCCACCCTCACGACCAACTAGGGCCGGGGACAAACTGCAACCGAGGTACGTGCCCTTAGCGGGAACCGAACCTGGGTCTCTCTGGACCACAAGCTGACGCTCTATCCGCTGAGCCAAACTGGCCAGGACTGGACGAATGATTTTTTTTTTATTAAAAAATTTTTTTTTTATCCTCACCTGAGGATATTTTTCCATTTTTTGTACAAATAGAGTGGGAGGGAGAGAGAGGAAGGAGAGAGAGAGAGAAACATCGATGTGAAAGGGACACATCGAGTGGCTGCCACCCTCACGACCAACTAGGGCCGGGGACAAACTGCAACCGAAGTACGCGCCCTTAGCGGGAACCGAACCCGGGTCTCTCTGGACCGCAGGCCGACGTTCTAACCGCTGAGCCAAACTGGCCAGGGCTGGACGAATGATTTTGATTGCATTCCATTCTCTACCTTTTCAGGGATGTAAAGTAATTCCCAAAGAACCACAATCAGATAACAGAAGGGTGTGCTATAGACAATACATAGTTTTCATTGAAATACAAAATTTCCCCTAGTGAATAAGATTATCGACTGAATGTATCCTCTAAAAGTTCATATGTTGAAACTAATCCATTTGGAGGTGGGGACTTTGGGAGATAATTATGTTTAGAGGAGGTCATGAGAGTGCCCTTCATGACCTGACCAGATTGGTCCCTTACTAAGAAGAGTCCAGCTGTCTTCCTCCATCAGAGGAGCACACAGCAAGAACGCAGTCCATCCTCTGCAAACCAAGAAGGGGGTTCTTACACAGAACCACACCTGCAGCATGGATCTTGGGATTCCAGCCTCAAGACTTGTGAGAAATAAATGTCCTTTGAGTCACCCAGACTATGGTGTTTTGTTATAGCCGCTCAAGTTTACTGAGATGACTGTAAAAGGTCTAGCCCAGAGCCTGGCACACAGTAAGTAGCTCAGCTGCATGTTATTCAGCAGCGGTTTCATAATGTAAACATAAACCTCGAAACTTGTAAGAATTTTTTAGTTTATTTGAGCTAACCTGAAGATAATTGGGGGGAAGCAAAATCTCAATGGATTGAGATAATGCTCAGAGAATGGCAGTTACGCACTTTATTTTATACACTACAAAGGAGGAGGTGTAAGGGGATTATATGCAGTTCACTGGGATAGATTAGGGTGGCTGGAGAAAAAGTGGGGGAAATCTCTGGGACTGAGTAAAAAGTAAAAGGAATAGACAAATACTTCTTTTACATTTGTGAGTTTGGGGTAGCTAAAAGTCAATAATTAACATGATAGCAAGAAAATTTACCTTGACATTCCAAAGGCATGTTATTTTAGGTGCAAAAAGACAACAGACAGGCTCAGTTAAGGTAAAGATTGACCTTTGTCAAGGAAGATACCAGCCTAGGGCATGAGTACCAGCCATGACTTGCTTTTAGTTAAGATTTAATTTCAGACCTTTCTATGTGGTTACTTTTGCTCTCTGAGTTTGTAAGGCCTCCATGCAGGCCTCCCCTGAGCTTGTCAGGTTTAGTATATGGCTCCTTTTTTGGTCCACAATAATAATTTGTATATACAAGGGTGCTTTGGGTAGCAATCTGTCAGATGGAGATGTATGTGGCTAGACTTATTTTGGAGCTGAGATAGCACAGCCAATGTGTGTCCTTATCTGGAGGAGGGATGGGACCTAAAGTCCCATAGCTACTTCTTTTTTTAACTTTTGTTTTTGGTTTATCCTCACTTGAGGATATTATTCCATTGATTTTTTAGAGAAAGAGAGATGGAAAAACAACTATGCCAGAGAGACACATCCATTGTTTGCCTCTGGAACCAGCCCAACCCCGGTGGGGATGACCCTGCAACCCAAGTACTTGACCTTGACCGGGAATCGAACCCTTGACTCTTCAGTCCTTAGATGAGATCATGGCTGGGTCAAACCAGCCAGGGCCCACAGCTGCCTGTTATTCCTTCCACAGTTCACTTGGCCATTCAGCAAATATTTATTGGCATTAGCTTGCTAGGCACATTCTAGGTACTGGGGATAATGAGAAGTGTATAAAGCAAAGTTCCTGCTTATATTAGTGGGGTGAAACAGGAAATGAAGTATAGAGAATTTGTGCTTAAAGGAAAATTATTCATGGTCTACACAGCATGCCATTCCTCTCTAGCCTTTCAGGCTCTCAGAGCTGTCTCACAACTCCTTAGCTGTAGGTAAACGACAACCAGGAATTGTTTTATTCCTGCCTAGTGACATGCAAATTAATTCTGTCCGCTGGATAAACAACCCTCACTGCTGGTGGAAAAGCTTGTGTCCACTTTCACATCTGTTGCAACATTCCTTTATTCTGTACAAATCTGCCCCTTTGTCTGATTTCTCTTTTGAACATATAACACATTGGTTCCCGTATTTAATTAAAATATTTAACATGTGTACATTTCATAATGTATGAGAACCATAACTTTATTTGTGTTGGGGGGGGCGGGGGGGAATACTCTAACGAAATAAGTAAACATCTAGCACGTTGATAGTGTGATGCACTATGGAGAAAATAAAGCAGAATAGGAGGGAGCCCGGCGAGTCGCTCACAGGTGCTCAGGAAAAACCCTCCTGAATTAAAGTGCTAAAAGAAGTATTCGTTGTCTGAAATTCAAATGCAACCGCGTGCGTCCCGTGTTTTATCTGGCAGGCAGGCAGGCTTCCGACGGGCCCGAGGGCGCGGGCCGCACGAAGCCGGCTGACCGGCCCGGACGCGGACTACGAGCCGGGGGCCGCCGGGCGGCAGCGCCCCAGCCCGGCGTCTGCGCCGACGCGGGGCCGGGCGGGTGGGTGTGTCCGCTCAGGACCCGCCCCGTCACGTGCGGCCCGCGCCTGCCGCGTCGGCATCTGCCGCGAGCCAGCCGGGCGGCCTGACGCTGGGCGGCCGCGGCCTCTGCAGCGGTGCGCGTCCCATGGCGGCGGCGGCGGCGGCGGCGGCGCGGGCCGCGGGCACCGACGCGGCCGAGGGGCCCCCGGGGCCGGCGGCGGCGCTGGAGCTGTGGCTCAGTGAGTAGGGCCGCCCCTCGACGCGGCCCGGCGCCGCACGTGAGGCCTGGCTTCCCGCTTCCCTGGCCTTTCTTCGGAGGCCGGGCCGGCCGGGCGGGGGCTGGGCAGCCGGAGCCGGCGCTGCGGGCGGAGCCTGCGCCGCGCTCTCCGCCCCTGCGCCCCGGCGCCGAGACCTTCGCGGCCCGCCTGACGTCTGCGCCTTTCTTTCGTGCCGAGCACTGTGCCAAGAGCCGATTTTAACGGTTGTTAGTCCTCACGAAGCTCCCCAGAGACGGCTCCATCGTTCACCCCGTCTTAGAGATGGGGACCATTAGGCTCCAGGAGACTCAGCCGTGCAAGATGCGCAGCTTCCTGCGCGCTTGGGAGCGGGGAAGGGTCTCTGCCGCCGTCTCTCAAGCCAGGGCGGTTCTCTTTCCTGTGTGCGCGTGTTCAGTGGCCGGACTGCGTGTGTGTGGTGTGGCCTCCGGTGGGCTGGACACCAGACTTCGGCAGGGGCGTCACTGCCACCAGGTTACCGAGAAGTTGGGTCAGAGAGGGTGAGGAATGTGCTCCTTGTGTTGGGCTCTGCTAGGTGCTGGGCACAGCTGCCCAGGGCCCTCGTCCACCATGCCTTGCTCACAAAGACGGGTTTTGGTGGATCCAACCCTTTAACAGCACCTTGTTTATAATTGGCAGAGGGAGGCGTTTGTTTAACGTGCGGTAGTAGGAGTTGGTTTGTGTTTCTGGAGACTGCCTCAGGGTACATAGCATTTGATTGGACAGTGGAGATAAGTACTTTTCAGCCAGGGAACTACCTGTGCAAAAGCTGGGGGACAGGAGGCTGGAACATTCTGGGAAAGAATAGGTCAGTACTTATGGGTGCAAAGCTAAGAGTCTGGAAAAGAGGCTGCACCTGCTAGTTGGAGCAAGTTCTTCAAGGGGCTCCTATGCTGCACAAAAGAGTTCAAAATTTATTCCGTGATGTGGGGGGAGGGGTGTTGGAATTTCAGCCAAAGAATCTGTGATCAAGGACACCTGTTGAAAGCATCTTTTAGAGAGAAAGGGAGAGGGAGGAAGCGAAACATCTATCGCCTGCCTCCTGCACACCCCCTACTAGGGACTGAGCCTGCAACCTGGGCATGTGCCCTTACCAGGAATCAAACCAAGACCTCTCAGTCCACTGGAGGATGCTCAATCCACTGAGCCACGTCTGCCAGGCTCCATCGAGTTTTTTAGATAGAGTGGAAGGGACTGAGAGAGACAGAGACAGACATCAACATTGCTTAGTTGCCTCCCTCATGACCCCGACTGAGGCCTGGGATTGAATCTGCAACTGAAGTACTGCCCTAGACCAGAAATCAAACCCGAGACTCTACCGTCCGTGGGCTGGCCCTCTAACTGCTGAGCCAAACTGGCCTGGTCTTTTCGGTTCTTTTTTTTTTAATCCTCACCTGAGGACCCTCTTGCATTCATCTTCAGGTAGAGCAGGAGGCGGGGGGCGAAGAGAGAGAGAGAGAGAAATATCTGTGTGAGAGAGACACATTAACTGGTCCCCAACCAGGGCTGAGGACAAACTGCATCCGGTTTCCTTAGTGCGAACTGAACCCAGGACTCTCTGGTCCGTGGGCCAACCCTCTAACTGCTGAGGCAAACCGGCCAGGGCTCTTTTTAGTTCTTAAAAACTGACAACTATGCTCTGGTCGGATAGCTCAGTTGGTTGGAGCATTGTCCAAGGTTGCAGGTCTGATTCCTGGTCAGGGCACATACAAGAATCAACTATTGAATGCATAAGTAAGTGGAACAAGTTGATGTCTCCCTCTCTCTCCCCTACTCCTTCCCTTCCCCCCTCTTTCCCTCTCTCCTTCTCTTTCTATCTCTGTCCCCTGTCCCTTCCTCTCTCTCTCAAATCAATAACTGAAACATTTTTAAAAATAAGAGCCGACAACTACTCTGAAATATGAAGTTTGTCTAGTGCCAGCCAGGCAGAATTAACCTGTGGGGAGGTGTAGCCTCTGGTCACCAACCCTTTTAAAAAAAAAAAAAATTTTTTTTCTTTATTGATTTTAGAGAGAGAGGGAGAGAGATATAGAAACATCGATGAGAAAGAACATTGATTGATGGCTGCCTCCTGCACGCCCCCCAGCTGGGGATTGAGCCCACAACCTGGGCATGTGCCCTGACCAGGAATCGAACTGGTGACCTCTTGGTGCATGGGTCGATGCTCAATCACTGAGCTGCACGGACTGGGCTGTGAAGGAGGTCTTAAAAGGAGAGAGGCACCATTGAGCCTCTGTCTACTTTATTTTCCTTTGAAGTAGCTATCCCTTCTGAATTCCAGGTGCCATGTTTAAACCATTGGAGAAGGGCTTAAAGGTGCTAAAGGTCAGAGCTAGAGCAGCAAGGGGTGACAGGAGAAGGGCCCCGTTTGTTTTCTTAGTGTCTAGGGAGGGGGATAAAGATGATTGCATATGCAAATAAGTTTGTCAGTTATAATCCCTTACCCTCTGAGTGTTAGGGGCTGAGCTGGGGGCTAAGCTCTTTTGAGGATGTTGGGGACATCTGGGAATGGCTTGGTAAGAGGAACTGAGGGGAGCCCACCTGGACACTTGGGAACAAGGTTTCTCAATGACAGTGCTGTTGATGTTTTGGGCCTTATAATTCTGTGTTGTGGGGGTCTGTCCTGTGCATTACAGCTGTTTAGTGGAATCCTTTCTGTTTCTCTTACCAGCCATTCCCAGATGTCCCTTGGGGGAGAGAGGCAGGATCACTTGATCCCTCCTGCCCCCCTACCCAGTAGGAGCAGAGAAGGTGAACTATAGTTAAACCAGATTTGCTGGGGGGGGGGGGGTGGAGCACTGGAAGGACAAGGGGGTAAAGAGGTTGAAAAGGCAATGACAGCAGTGTTGAAGGAATGCACTATGAGTCTAGGCTGGATGGAGGAGAAGGTCACTTGGGGTTGAGTCTGAAGACTGCTGAGCTAAGGTTGCTGGCAGACCTTGCCTCATCAAGCAAGGCAGCTGTATTTCCAAGATGGGAATATAGTAAAACATGTCCCTCTTAGGGTCATAAGGATCAAAGGAATGAATACATGTGAAGCGCTTAGGGTAGTGCCTAGCACATAGTAATGTAGTATCCTTAGTCTTTTTAGTTGTGAGTGGCAGAAAACTAACTCACAGGATTACCAAAAACAGGAGCTGTTATCAGAAGCTCACATGTTAAAAATACACACAGCAGCTTGTGTGCATTCTAGAGCTTTACCCCTTCGTGGATTATTTTGGTCAGTGTTTCACGTGACTGCATGTGTAACTGCCGCATTCCTTGTAATGAAAAGCCTCAGACACCCCATTGTATGGGTGCTCTATGCTTTGGCTAACCAACCCATGGTAGTGGGCATCTTAGGTTGTTGCCAGTCTGGTGCTATTAAAAGCAACCGGGCCCTCTGGGTCTCGGATTCTAGCTAGCCCTGGTAGTGTGGCTAGGGAGGCAGTAGCTTAAAGTTGGGTACCCAGTGAATCCCTTCCAGCAGGACACATTCCCAGGTGGTGTGTCCTGTCTTTTTTCCAGCCCTACTTCTGTGCCTCCCTCGGGGATCAGGAGTGCCTGGATTACAATCTATTTATATTCCTAGAGCTTCTCCAGGGCTGAGCTCATTCTCTATCATGGAGCCCAGTGCAGGATATCCCTGTGGTGGGTCTTGGGCCTTCAGCACATGCTTATTGACTGACTGCTGGACTGGAGGAGTCAGTGCACACCTCCGGCAGAAGGGTCCCCTGTGCTGTTGATGGATTGAATTCCCAGTTTCTTGAGTTGACTGCTATCCCACAGCTTCAGGACTCCCCTATAGTGGGTCAGAGACATGTCCCTGGCATTTGTGTGACCGCTGGTGAGAGATGGTTTTGCTTTTGATTCTCACTCTAGGATGAGCCATTTCACTCATAGTTGGAGGTCTCAGCAGTTTTCTTAATACCTCTCACCCTGTAGCCTACTTGAAATGCCTACACAGCTTGCTTTTATTGAGCAAATCTATGGCAGTGGTGTTATTTGTCCTGCCCAAGTGCCAGCTAAATACACCACCTTGGTGCCAGGGGTAGCTCTTCTCAGTGCAGTGATGGGGCTGTGATGGTTCTGAGAAGCAGAGAAGGGGTTCTGTGAGTTTCTCCCTGGCCATGCCCACTCAGGCCATTCCTTGGGGCGATTGGCATCAGCCGATTTGCACAGTTGCTTTGTCCCAGTCAGACCTAGCTGCTCTCTTCTGGGGTCATGTTTTTTGGAGCTGCTCCAGACTTCAGAAGTAGCTGGGATTACATGGTGGGAGACCCAGTTATTTCAGAACTGGAATGGCTGTCTTCCGGAGTCAGGAGATGGCCAGCCAGCTGGCCAAACTGCATAGCAGAAGATGAATCATTCATTCACTTAGTAAATACCTGGGCCAATGACTGTTTTAGGTGCTGGCAGGCGAATGAGACGGATCTTCTTGCCTTAGGGAGCTTGTAACTTAGTGGCAAGAAAGGCAAGGAAACTAGTTCCCAAAGAAGTCCTACTTTTATCAAGGAACTGAGGACTATGCTGTGAGGAACATTTGGGCCCTGGAGTCAGGCAGACCTGGAACTGAACTATTGTTTCTGTTGTTTTCTAGCTTTGTGGCTGGGTAGGTTTCTTCACTTGTAAAATGGTGAGAGAATAGGACTGTCAACGTTAGAAACATTCAAACCTGTGAAGAATTTTTGTGAGTTTATTTGATCCAAAACGGTCGACAGTTGCCAGGAAGCAAATTCTCAGCAGATTGCAGCAGTGCTCCAGAGAAGAGCAGTTTTGCACTTTATTTTATACATTACAATCAAAAGAAGACACAAGTGAGTTACATAAAATCCATGAGCTAGATTAGGGGGGTGGGAGATAAAAGGTCTGAGTGGCGGGAGATCACATCCACAACGTAAGGCCAATGTAGAGCAAAATGGCTTTATTGCATGAGCCTGAGTGCAGGTGGGCTGAGCTGAGAAGGGTTCGGCCCCAAATCAGGGTTGGGGTGTCTGTTATATACCCTCCTTTTAGTTCCAGCAGTTCTGCTGATGTACTTTTATGTGGCCAATTGTCCACCTTGCAGTAGGGCTGGTCTTGCGGACAATCCAGTTAAGCCTTATTTTGTATTCAACAAAAGGCTGAGCCAAGATCATGCAAGCAACACAATTTCCACAGTTTCTGCCTTTTGCAAATTTTTACCTTTACCCTTTAAAACATTACTAACCCTTTCAGGAGAAAGCAAAGTAGGGGGTTGGGAGGGACCTCTGGGATTGGATGACAAGTAAAATGATGGGCACAAACATCTTTTACATAGGTAGGTACAGGATAGTTAACAGTTAACAATGAACCCAGTACCAATGAGGGGATTTGTGGTGTTCGCAGAGTGGTGCCTGTGCTTTGAGGGGGTCTGGAAAAAGGAAAATTACTTTAACATTCCAAAGATATGTTATCAGAGATGCAAAAAAAATGATAGACTGGCTTAGTTAAGGTAAAATTTGACCTTTGTCTGGGAAGATGCCTGCTTAGTACATGACTACCTGCCGTAAACTGCTTTTAGTTAGGAAGTTTTCATTTCAGACCATCCTTTGTGGTTACTGTAGGTCTGAGTTTGCAAGACCGCCATGCAGCCCAGCCTGAGCTTGTCAGGGTAGCATGTAGCCCCTTTTTGTCCAAAGGACCAACCTCAACTATTCTGAGGATTTAAGGGAAGGCATGATTGGAAAACACTGAACATGGTGTCTGGTCCACAGAAAGCTCTTTAAGAAGGCAGCTGTGTGTGGCTGGTGTGTCTCAGTGGTATGAGTGTCGACTCATGCACCAAAAGGTCACCGGTTCGATTCCTGGTCAGGACACACCCCCAAGTTGTGGGTCGATCCCCAGTGGGGGGCATGCAGGAGGCCACCAATTGATGTTCTCGCTCATCCATGTTTCTGTCTCTCCCTCTCACTTCCTCTCTCTCTAAAATCAATAAAGGAAAAAAAAATTAAAAAGAAAAGAAGACAGCTGTGACTATTGTTGCTGTTATTTGGGATTGTAACAAGCCTTGAGTGAGTCCTTATGATACACAAAAGCATGCTCACACTTTGTAGATTTTCCAGCTGCTTGGCCTAGGGAAAGGTTTTTGTAGCATGACTTTGCCTCACAGAAGTTTCTTCTTTGAAAGAGCTGGTGCCTGTTGGTAGTCTTTGTACCTGGCCTCGGGGGAGGTGGGGGAGGCGGGGGAGGCGGGGGAGGGCTGGATCTTCCAGGGAGCTGGGGCCTGCTTGCTGTTCTCTGCCTTTAGGGCCATCACATGCTGAGTGCCAAATGCCCTAGAGGTGGATTGGCCAACCTTGACCTTGTAGTGAACTGAAACCTCATGAAGTTTAACTGGTGTAGAATTATTTTGGATGCCTCCAACCCCCTTAATCAGAATTTCCTGAGAATCACTGCTTTAAATATTTATTTCATGAGTAATTTATTTTGTACTTATGGGTAAATCATTGTGCTAAGCTCTGTGGGGAATGTATGGCTTCTGGCTTTAAGAATTTTACACCTATAGGTGTAGTAAGGCATGTGTACATATTTTTAAAGGGAAAGGCTGAGGCTGTGTATTACAATAAATGATAAGATTAGCTATCCTTTGTTGATTACTTAATATTTGTTACTGTGCTGCTCACTTTAGAAACTAGCTTCTTTAAATCTCATTCCTGTCCCATGAGGAAGGTACTATTTTCCTGACTATAGCTGAGGAAACAGGCTCAGAGAGCCCAAGGACATGTATGTGATCAGGGGTGGAGTTAGCGATCTGTCATAAAAAGGGACAGGTAGAATGTGGGTCTTCGGAGGAGGAAGAGACAGCGCCTGTCTCTGTGGTGGGAGAAAACAGACCAAGGGCATCTCTGTGAAGAAGGGCATTTGAATTGGGACTCAGAGGGTGGATGGGATTTTTATTTATTTATTTTCTCATCTTCACTCAGGAACATTTTTGCATTTATCTTCAGATAGAGCGGGAGAGGGAGAAAAGAAGGAATAGAGAGAGAGAAACATTGATGTGAAAGAGACACATCGACTGGCTGCCACCCATACAACCCCAATTGGGACCTGGGACAAACTGCAACCGAGGTACATGCCTTTAGCGGGAACCGAACCCAGGTCTCTCTGGTCTGCGGGCCGACGCTCTAACCGCTGAGCCAAACTGGCCAGGGCTGGATAGGATTTTGAGAGTGGAATGTGGGGAGGTGCTTTAAGGAGGGAAAAGTGAGGGGTATATGGAAATTGATAACCCTATTCCTTCACTTTCCTCTGTCACCTTGTCCGCTTTGAGTGGAGTTTGTGGGTGGGAAGACGGGTGATTACATGAACTTTGAGTCTCACTGTTGAGCTTGGGAGACACATGACTTCCACATGACATGAATGTGACTGCAGTCAGGAGAAGTTAGACTCTAGCTGGCTGTTGAGTGTTGAGTAATCAGAAGGGAGGAGAATCAGTAGGGCTAGAACAGTAGGGAAGGAGGTTTTGGGAGGAGATGGAAATTCAGGTGGTCCTTGAACATCTGAAGACAACAGAAACCTGACCCTGAGAATTAGCCTGTTTGCAGACCTTGAAATCGCTTCTCTGTCAGGACCAGGAAGATACTTATTGGAGAGGCTGGAGGCCTGGACAGGCTGGTCAGTGGGGTGGAGGGAAGCGTTATGAAGATGGTCGCAGCGACTCCTTTGTGAGAGAATGTAAACTGGCCCAGTCTGGGGATGGGTGGGTGGGCATCCTTGCCTGGGCTGCTGGACAGGTTTTCTTGGCAGTAGCAACAGAAGGAGAAGTTGCTTCCATCCAGCACCAGGAAAGATACACACAAGCCCGTATTCCAGGGAGGTCGGGCCTTCCCCCTCCCTCAGTGGACCGTAGTCCCCTGTCAGACACCTTACCCTCCTGCGTCACGTGTCTCCTGCCCCTGGCAGTGCCCTGCTGCCCTTCGGTGCTCATGTCCTCAGGTTTCATCCAAGGGTGAGTGTTGGGGGGGGCCCTAGTACGCTTGGATCTGAGTCCTGGGAATGTGTGCTGTAGCTGAGAGGGACCGAAGTATGAGGGCCAGAGACCGGGAGATGTCCTCTGGTCAGATTGAACAGGCCGCCAACATGGAGAGCTTCTTACATAGGACGGTCAGGGAGATTTCAGTAAGCCGAGGCTTAGAATTAGGGGTGCTGCTTTTGAGGAGATGGTGAGGTGACCAAGTATAGCTAAGAAACTTAGCAGTAGCCTCCCGGGTGCTGGCTGCTGCCCATCCTTACTGCAGGGCCACAGTGGGGGTGCCCTGCCTGATGAGGCGCGTGAAGAAGGCCCGCGTAGGCAGACCCTTGCACTGGAAGGGGAGCCCCTTCGGGGCTGTAGCGTGTCCACTAATGTGCTCGTTTATTCAGTGAGCCAGTACCCACTGCGGCCATGTCATGTGCCAGCCATTCTGCCCACGGGGATGACAGTTCAGGTATGGCCCTGTCGCCTACTGGGTCTGATCCCATGAAGGTGTGATGTCATGGCCCTTGGCTATGTTTATTTTAGGGGGAATAGGTGTATGTTTCTTTTTATTATACTTCCTGTAATTTCATCTTTTATTTACTTGACAGATAAAGCCACAGACCCAAGCATGTCAGAACAGGATTGGTCAGCTATCCAGAATTTCTGTGACCAGGTGAACACTGATCCCAGTGGGTAAGGTGACCTTCTTACTGGGCCCTGGGGGCCCCTCAGACTAAGTGCGTGCCATTCTGTCTTGGGACTGTTTTTTTTTTTTTTAGAAATAGCAAATTCATGTTTTTGTTTTTAAAACCCAAATAGTCGGTTTGTAACTGGCAATTATTTTTAAAAATTTTAAATAATATTATGAAACACTCTTACTCAGAAGACCTGGATGTTATGGATAGAAGGTAGCAATGTGAAAGAGATCCGTGTGCTGTCTGTAATTTAAATGTAACGTTTCTTTAGAAGAGACAGGAAAAGGATCATTGTGTTTAATTCTGTTTCTAAAGCGTCTGGATAGGAACTGAAGAATCCAAATGTTTAACCTGCGTACTGACTATTCAGCATTTGGAAATGGGCAGAAAGTGTGATTGCACTGTCTACTCTAGTGTTTATCAGGCAACAAACAGGGTCTGTGCTGCTCGCGACCTGGATGCCTGTGGGCCGGGGCCTGCCTGCTTGGCTGGGAGCTTGGGGGAGGGCGGTGTGTCTGGACAGCGGTGGTTGCAGGAAGGGTAGGTGGAGATTGGCCTCCTTCAGAGGCTTGTGCATGGGCTGTGTGCCTGTCACATTCCACCTTTGGGGTCCGAGCTTCTGGGAGGGAGGTCACTTTATGGAGTGCATGTGGCCAGATTGTCCGCCCAGAGCCCAGGTGTCTTTGGTTCCCTTAGCCCGACCCATGCGCCCTGGCTGCTGGCCCACAAGATCCAGTCTCCACAAGAGAAAGAAGCTCTTCATGCCTTAACGGTGAGTTTGGCCCTTAGCCGCAACTCTCCTGCCCCGAGCCAGAGAGCTGGGCCCCAGTCCCATTTCAGTGTGGTGGGGAGCCTGAGGGGTTCATCTTCACTGGCTGTGAAAACGCAGGCCGCAGGGAGGCTGGGCTCTGGTTGCCCATCCTAGGTCTGCTTTGGGAGAAGGAAAGAAAGATTTTATTTCATTAGCTCTTTACAGACCAGGCTGGCAAGTTAAGTGCCTCCAGGACCAGACCGGGGATGTAGTGAGCGAGTGCCGGGCGAGGACCACAGTCCTGGAGAGCCCTCACTTGGGTGTGGAGGTGCTGCAGCGTGGCACCCGCTGGCTGTGTGTTGCCAGGCGTGCATTTGGGCCTATTGTTGCTAGGACTCCTGTTTTTAAGAGAAACCATAAGTCCAGATTTTTATATGAATTCTCTGAATCTTTTGATGTTGGTGACTAATGTGAAATGTTAAACAGTAGTGTGGACCAAAGAAAATGTGTGTAGGCCCCACTTGTGTGCCAGCAGGGGACCTGTGGCATATAGTCCATGGGCCTTCCATACCAGATGTCCCCTCTGGGGGGAGGGATTCACCTGCTCAAAGGATCTCCTTTAAAGGTGGGTGACCTCAGAGGACACACCCCACTGAATTGTTTGCCAGCCACAGACCTGTCAGATACAGCAAGATCAAGAAGGCGCTTGTAAAAAAATCTGAAAATGTTACCCTTTCTCCCAAACTTCAGTGTCCTCGTAGTCCTAAGTAAACACTAGCCCTGGTTCCAGCAAGTGCTCATCAGATTTGAGGAGAGCCTGGAGCCATTGTTTTTCCCGTTCTCCTGGGGGTCCTGTGTCTGTGCAGGTGCTGGAGACGTGTGTGAACCACTGTGGAGAGAAGTTTCACAGCGAGGTGGCCAAATTCCGCTTCCTGAATGAGCTGATCAAAGTGTTGTCCCCAAAGGTGAGTACCCTGGTCTTGGCCCTGTGTACTGTACTGCACTTGGCCCAGCCTTTGAACACCTGCCACCGTCCTGTGTCCCGAAGCAGGCCTGCTCCTGGACAGACCCTGCAGCCTCTCTCGGGTCTGTGAGGGAGCTGGGAGAGGGGCCCTGCGGGGAAGGCCTTCTTCTCCAGGGTCCAGGATGACCTTGCTGATCCCTACCCTCCATTGTTAGTATCTTTACATTATTCTCCCTTTAAAAGTGGCCTTGTGGCCTGGCCAGTGTGGCTCGGGTTGAGCATCGACCTATGCACCAGGAGGTCCCCAGTTCGATTCCTGGTCAGGGCACATACCTGGATTTCGAGTTTGGTTCAGGTCAGGATACATCCCGGAAGGCAACTGATCAATGTTTCTTTCTCACGTTGGTGTTTCTCTCTCCCTCTCTCTTCTTCTATAAAATCAATAAAAATATATTTAAAAAAATAAATAAAATGGCCGCATGGATGGGTGGCCTAGAGGGGGAGAGAAAGGAGCTTGGAGCACAGGTTTTCTGACAGAGACAGCAGGAAACGCCAAGTGTGGCTTTTAGTTTCGTGTCACTTCTTGCCTTGTCCTTTGCACTTGTCCTCTTGGCTCCTGTCTGGGCTCTGCCATTCTTGGGTAACTGACATGGATGGAGCCTCTCCTTGCTGTTTCCCAACAACAGTCCTCTGATACCAACTCTGTCCTGCAGTTTAATTCTTTCAGTTCTGACACTAACTACCCGGAGTTAGTGCAGACCCGACCAGGTTCAGGACTCAGTCAGACCTAGATAACGCCTGGTGTAGACATCAGCCGTGAGTCTCATTGCTCTTCTGCCTGACCAACTACAGATTTGGGGTTTCCCGTGACCACTTCCACAAGGTTCCATACTTCACTACAGGAAAGCACTGTACTTACTATAAAGGATACAAATGCAAGAGACACATAGGCCGGGGTCTTGGGGGGAGGGAAGCGCAGCTTGCGTGCCTTTCCTTACAGTCTGAGCACGCCAGTCTCCCAGCACATTCACGGGTTCACTCAGGAAGCTCTGCACCTTGTTTCCGAGTGTTTCCCTGGAGGTCTAATACGGCAGGATTGATTACATCACTGGGCATGGGATTGAACTCGCTCTCCAGCCCCTCTTCCCCACCGGGGGTCCTGTAAGCTGAAAGTTCCAACCCTCTAATCTCATGGTTGGTCTTTCTGGCACAGCCAGCCCCTCCCTTGAGACTAAGTGCCCACCCTGAGTGGTTAGCCTAAACTCAGGTATGGGCTGAGGGCACTTGTTGCGAATAACGAGATTCCTATCACTCAGGAAATTCCAAGGAGTTTTGGAACTCTGTACTGAGACAAAAACCAAACATATTCTTTTATTACTCCACACTTGCCCCAGTCAAAAAAGTGAGTGTCCCCTGTGGTTCTAACCTAGGCCAGTATGTGGTGGGTTTTAACTTCGGCTGTTTTGGAGATTGATTCTTGTGCCAGGTGACTTGACTTTTTTTTTCTTTCTTGATTTGAGAGAGAGAGGAAGTGAGAGGGAGGGAGAGCTAGAAACATCAATGAGAGATGACATCAATTGGCTGCCTCCAGCATGTCCCCGCAGGGGATCAGGCCCACAACCTGGGCATGTGTCCTGACCGGGAATCCAACCAGCCACCTCTTGGTGCAGGGGTCAGTGCTCAACCACTGACCACACCTGCTGGACTGATTTGACTTTGCTGTGCTTCAACACTCAGCCAGCAGGGGGCAGCTCTCGCTGTGGGCCGCAGCAGCGTCTTTCAGCTGGTGCTCTGAAGTCCCTTCCAGCTCTGTAATTCTCTTTGCTGATTATTTTCAGTACCTAGGGTCCTGGACCACAGAAAAAGTTAAAGGAAGAGTCATCGAAATACTCTTTAGTTGGACAGTCTGGTTTCCAGAAGACATTAAGATCCGAGATGCTTACCAGATGCTGAAGAAGCAAGGTCTGACTTCCTTTACTTGAGCTGCATTCCCTTTTTCATAGTCCTTGTTCCTGTGTGTGTGTGTGTGTGTGTGTGTGTGCGCGCGCATGCGCTTTGTGATTTTTTTGGTGAAAATTGGACAGTGGCGACTGAGACAGGTAATTTTCAGTATCTGGCAATGGGCAAACCTCGTGGGTAGGAGCTAGCTAGGTTTGAGATTGTTGCTGTGGTTACCCTCACTGCACCAGACTTCAGATTCCGATGGTTAGCTTGTGTTTAGGGTGGGGCTGATTTGCTGGGGTTTTTCTCAGTATCTGCTCCGCTCTTAGCTTGAGGTCTTCCTTACTCAGTACCTCAGAGAGGGTCTACCTTCTTGCCTTCCTGATAGTAGGTAGGCTGTTACTACTTCTGACTCAGTGGTGGAGGCGTCGTCTCTGCTCTGACTAGGCCTCAGTGTTAGGCAGGCACTGTGTCCCTGGTGTCAGGGAGAGACACAGACAGACACAGATGCCCCTGGAGGAGGGGAGCCGGTGTTCTCTTGCAAAGCTGTGAATGTGTGTGGCTGTCTGTGTCCTGTGTGGAGGCTGGGAATCTCCCTTTCCTGTGGGCTCTGCAGAGACAGGAACTAGATTCAGGGCAGACTGTTTTCCCTGCACTTACACTCAGTGTTTTCAGGACGTCAGGGGTCCCGCTGTGCTCTCTGGGCCCTGGCAGGTGTGTACCTGCATACAGTGATCAGCACTTTATAGCAGAGAGCCTGATGTGGACTGCTGGCCATAGGCTCTGGTTCTCCCTGTTCAGTGGGCTCTGATGTCTCTCTGCTGGCTCCCGGGTTCTCTGCAGGGAGGGTGCCAGTCGTGCCTGGGGTGTCCCTAGGCTGTTGGCACTGCTTTCCTCTGGACGTCAGGAGCCAGGGCTGCGTGGAGTCCTGATGGAGTCGGCGGGACCCTTACCGGGACCTTCATTTCCTGAATTGAATGTTTCAGGGATCATAAAGCAAGACCCTAAACTGCTTGTGGATAAAATCTTGCCCCCACCTTCTCCCTGGCCCAGGAGCTCCATCTTTGATGCTGACGAAGAAAAGTCAAAGGTAAGGAGCTCTTCCCTGACCTTGGAGGCCTACCTGGAATCTGATCGGATCTCTTCTTGTAGGGACTCCCTTCAAATGTCCCTGAACCAAAGTGTGGGAGAACGTGCTAAGGGGTTAGTGAGTTCTCCCTGGAGCTGGATTTTACCAGTGAGGTAGCATAAGGTCTGGGTGTTTTCTGTGGTGTGGATGGTCGGTCATATGGAAGTAATTCCTTGTGTATCGGCTTGGGTCTTTTAGTACCAGTAAGCCTGGTCCCACCCATTTTCCTTTTGCTAATGCCTCCCAGAAGCCTCGGACATCGGTCAGGAGAAGGAAGTTGGTCAAAACCCAGGCCAAGACCTGGAACTACCCTGTAGCTTCAGTGGTGGCAGTGCTTTGGGTCGTTCCTGGTCTTGGTCACTCACAGGCCTGGTGCATGCTGTGCCAGCAGAGCTCCAGGCTGTATATGTGTCTCTCTGTGGTACCCATTGCCTTCCTGAAATGACACCAGATGGGTCCGGGCTGCCTGTCACTACTTGAGCCAATTAAGCAGAGACAAGGTTGAATCATAAATGAGCATTTATTCCAGTATTGCCCGAAGTATGGGAGGGCAGCGGGTCATCCCTGAAAAATCTGCTCTGAACTCCCTCTATAGCCTCTCAGAGGGAAAGGGCAGGTAGACAGAAAGGAATAACAGTGGGTAAAATTGCTGGGGACTGGGTGCTGCAAAGGGTGGTCTCCAGTGCACCCCCCAGGGTTCCAAGGTTGTTAGTGTTTCCATGGTGTTGAGCAGTTTTCCCTTGTTCTCAGATAAGAATGGGCAGCATTCCTGAGGTCAACTCCCAGGGTGTACAGCTCTCAGCCAGGTTGGAATGGACTTTCTTCAGTCAGAACAAAGCAATCACGATGGACAGAGCAAGGATGATTAACATTTCTATAACTATGGCTAGTGCCCCACTATGATTAGTTTTTATTATTGTTCCCTGCCCCTTTCATTCCATCTGTGCCTTTTCTCCCTTGGATCAGATGCTGATTGTCCATGGCATTCCTGGGGGCAGACTAGCAAGGCTGTGCTAGGTTTGGGGCTGCGTTTCTCAGCTCCTCTCCTGCTGGTTTCTTACAGTGTTAGAGGGTGGAAGGAGCAAGGGAGGAGGTAGGGCATGGGCTCCTGAAAAAGATAGACGCGTGAGTCACCTTGGGACAGCTGTGTACACTCTCTAGGGCTCAATATCCTCATCTTTTCCTCCATTCATCCAATAAAGATTGAGTGACTCCTATGTGCCAAGCTATCTGCTGGGCATTGGGAATAACATGAGCAAGATTGCCAAGGTCTGTCTCATCGTAGCGTCCATGGTCCAGAACAACTCGGCACTGTTGACATTTGGGCAAGATAGTTTTCCTGTGCAGTGTAGGATGTTGACAGCATCCCTGGCCTCTACCCCTTAGATCCAGTAGCATCCCCAGTTGTGACAACTGGAGTATCTCTGGACTTTGTGAATGTCCCCTGGAGGATATCCTCCGCCACCTCCTTGCCCCGTTGCACCAGTGGTCTAGAGATGGCGGTGGTCCTCACGTGCCTGTGTGATTGCTCAGATGTGCTCAGATAATGCATGTGACTGTTGGAGCTCCTGTTAGTGTCAGCACTTCCACTGCTGATGCCATACCCTGGCCATCTGACACCGAGGGGTTAGTGTCACCTGCTCTTGTTCACCTGCAGCTTCTGACACGGCTTCTGAAGAGCAGCCACCCTGAGGATCTGCAGGCTGCCAACCGGCTAATCAAGAGTTTGGTCACGGAGGTGGGCATTTCCCTGTGTTCTGCAGAACCAGCCTTGGACAGGGGCTGCACTGTGTGTGTGTGTGTGTGTGTGTGTGTGTGTGCGCGCGCGCGTGCGCATACATGCATGCACAAGAGTCTGGGGAGGCGTGGCTCCCTGTTCTGAGCTGGGGAAGAGCCATGGCTCCCTGAGGGCAGCCGTGGTGACTGGAAGCAGGGACCATGCTATGTGCTTCCCAAGTACCTAAGTCCAGGAGCCACAAGCATTTCACAGATGCCATCTTCCGTCCCAGTGACAGGTTATGTGTGGGCAGAGTCCAGGTTTGGGAATCTGTTTTTCAGAGTTAAGGCAGGTGGTGCAAAGTGGATCGCCAGGCCCCAGCTGCATTGTCTTCCCCAGGAGTCCTGGGCTTTGAGGACTTTCCTCACCCACTGAGGGAGAACTCCAGTCTGTGTTTAGTGACTTCCCTGAGCTCTCCCCAGTGCAGTGCCCCCTTCCCACCCTCTGCGCAGGCTTTATCCAGGGCTTCTGCTCCCTCACTGCCATCCTCTCCTTTCTCCCAAAGGAGCAGGAGAAAGCAGAGAAGGTATCCAAGAGGGTCAGCGCTGTGGAGGAAGTGCGGAGCCACGTGAAGGTGCTGCAGGAGATGCTGAGCAGGTACCACGGGCCGGGGCAGGCCCCGCCAGACCAGGAGGCCCTGCAGGTACTCTCCTCTACACGCACAAAGTAAAATAAAGAAGTGAGAACTTCCGGAGTAAGTGAGCATTACCCACATACCAGACATTGCACATATTTAGTGTATTTGCTGGTGTTGGCATGTGTCCATCTGTGCACAGTGGTCATCTTCAAGAATTTTTTGTTTGTTTGTTTTTTGTATTTCTTTGTGGTACGTGCCCCTAGCTAGAACTGAACCCGGACTCTCTGGTCCGTAGGCCGATGCTCAACCGCTGAGCCAAACTGGTCAGGGCCACAGTCAAGAATTCTTTATTTTATTTTATTTTTTCCTCACTCGAGGACATTTTTTGCATCTATCTTCAGATAGAGCAGGAGAGAGGGAGAGAGAGAAACATCGATGTGAGAGAGACACATCGACCAGCTGCCACCCACACGACCCCAACTGGGGCCAGGGACAAACTGCAACTGAGGTATGTGCCCTTAGTGGGAACTGAACCTGGGACTCTCTTGTCTGCGGGCTGATGCTCTAACTACTGAGCCAGACTGGCCAGGGCAAGAAGGATTCTTTTTTTTTTAATTCTCACCCGAGGCTGTGTTTTTATTGATTTTTTTTTTTTTTAGGGAGAAGAAGGGTGGGGGAGAGTTGACGCCCCAACTAACTGAGCCACCCAGCCAAGGCACAATCAGCAATTCTTTATAGGTCCTGGATGCAAGTCTCTTATTAGATAATTTTCTCCCTCTCTATGGGTTGTCTTTTAATTATCTTGACTGTCTTTTGAAGAAAAAGGTTTTAATTTTATTTTAAAGATTTTTAAAAATAGGTTTTTAGAGAGCGAGGGGGAGGAGAGAGAAACATGGATGTGAGAGTGAAACAAAGATCGACTGCCAGGGATGGAGTCTGAAACCTGGGCATGAGCCCTGACTCGGAATCCAACCGGCAGCAACCTTTTGGTGCATGGGATGTCACCCAACCAACTGAGCCACACTGGCCAGGGCAAAAGCTTTTTGTTTTTAATTTTTTTTCTTTATTGATTTTAGAGAGAGAGGAAGGGAGAGGGGGAGAGAGAAACATCGATGAGCGATAACATTGATTTGCCACCTCCTGCATGCCCTCCACTGGGATTTGGCCCACAACCTAGGCATGTGCCCTGACCAGGAATCAAACCTGTGCCCTGTTCCATGCTCAGCCACTTAGCCACACCGGCCTGGTAGGGGCAAAAGCTTTTAATTTTGAAGTTCAATTTGTCTCTTTTTTTCTTTTGTTGCTGGTGCTAGTCTGGTGTTCTATTTAAGACACAGCACCCCCTGCTGTCATGCCACAGGGGATAGTGGGGCTGAGATGTCCTAGTCAGGCATTCCTAGTCTCCCTGGAGTTCTGCTCTCTGCCTCCCTCTGCAGGCTGCGTCTGTCTTTTCTCTATTCAGGCTTATGCTTCTCTGCATAGGAGAGACCCTTCACACAGTTTACCTGTCCTTATATTTCACAAAACTAGCAGAAACAAACTAGTCTTTTCCAATACTAAATTTCCTAAGAGAAAAATCTATTTGGCCAGTGTGGCTTATGTATCTATCTGGGTCAAACAGCTGTGACTGGGATTGAGCAGTTACCGAGCAGAATGTGCTGGGCTTCTCTGTGGCTGGAGGGGACTACACTCAGAAGGCTTGGGGGCTTGGGCCAGGCAGACACGCCAAAGCCGCTCTCCCATGGTGAGGTTGTGTTACTGGGCTGGTCCTGCCCCTGTAAGGTCCAGGGCCTTCTGAGCGTCAGGCAACCTCCAGGCTCTTGACTTGTGCAGGAAAAATTCCAAGACATGAGTCTAGGTGAAAGTGTAAGTTTATTTATTTTTTTATCCTCACCTGAGGACATTTTTGCATTTATCTTTAGAAAGAGTGGGAGGGAGAGAGGGAGGAAGAGGGAGAGAGAAACATTGATGTGAGAGAGACACATCGAGTGGTTGCCACCCACACGACCCCAACCGCGGCCAGGGACAAACTGCAACTGAGGTACATGCCCTTAGTGGGAACTGAACCCGGGTCTCTCTGGTCCGCAGGCCGACGCTCTAACCGCTGAGCCGAACCGGCCAGGGCGAGAGTGTAAGTTTATTAAAGCTTAGGACAGTGAGGCAAAAGAAGGGCCCTTGGAGACAGGATTGGGGATGAGCGCAGGATGAGCTGCTGCTGCCCACTGCTCCCTGGTTGCAGGTCTCATGGGGACCCTTGGAGCTTCGGATAAAGAAAGCATTGTGCACCCCTGAGAAAGGTGTGGGCGCGCTCAAAGACGGCGGCCGCGCTCTTTGTCCTGGGGGTTTGTCTGTCTTCTGTGGGTGGGGATGGGAGGGGAGGTCCCAGGGAGGGTCTCACCAGGGTGTTCATTACATTTCCAGGTGTGATGCTTGGTATGCTGATGTGTTAGAATGAGGGTATGATGGAACCTGGGGTCATTTTGTCAGTGCATTGAACAGTGCTCAGCCAACTGAGCCAAGTGGTCAGTGCTCACTGGTTGCTTCTTGTCCTGTGCCCTGACTGGGGTTTCGAACCAGCTGAGTTTTCTGGCTAGGGTTGAGCTAAATTCTTACCTCCTTTTTGAGAGAGTGGAAGGGAGGGACGGAGGGTGGGGGAGAGAGAAAGAGGGAGAAAGAAACATCAACGTGCGAAACAGTGAGAGAAATGACATTGATTGGTTGCCTCCCGCATGCGCCCTCCCTGCAACCCAGATATGTGCCCTTGACTGGGAATCAAACCCATGACCATTCGCTGTGCGGGCTGACGCGCTAACCAGGGCAAGTCTTGTTACCTTTATAACTAGTATGTTCAAAAATTCCCATACAATTGTAGCCCAAACTGTTTCTGAAATTGTAATTACCATGTTACTTCAAACCTGCAGTCATGAATTTTGGGCTGATTGAGGAGAACTGAGGCCCAGACGCTGCTGCGTGCTCACAGTTCCCCGCGCTTGCCACGGGTCCTGGGTATGTGGTGAGCTGAGCTCTGTGTCCCAGGTTGTGTACGAGAGGTGTGAGAAGCTGCGGCCCACCCTGTTCCGGCTGGCAAGTGACACCATTGACGACGACGATGCACTAGGTAATGGTTCTCTTTCTCTCGGCACAGGTGGCAGCCCAGGTGCAAAGCAGGCATGCACCTTCCTGTTGTGCCTCTGTGGCGCCAGGGACAAGGCAGAACGGACTTTAGGGTTATGGTGATGGGCTCAGGAAGGGCAGGGCCTGTTAACTGATTTCTAGAAGAATCTAACCTGAGCAAGAAATCAGCAACTGGTCTGAAAGCATAGAAGGGGGAGGAAATGTACCATGTAGACTGGGTTTGAAAGTGAGAGAAGAAAGAAGATATTGTTGTTGGCCTGAAGAAAGGCTGGAGGTCCCACAGAGGCCCAGCAATGGCCACGAGTGGTCATCTTGTAGGTTCCCCAACCTGAGTGCCTTCAGGGGCTGGGCAGAGAATTTTATTTTTTTCATTTATTGATTTTAGAGAGGAAGTGAGTGGGACAGACAGAGAGATAGAAACATTGATGAGAGGGAACATTGATTAGCTGCCTCCTGCATGCCCCCCACTGAGGATTGGGCCCACAGCCTGGACATGTGCCCTGAGTGGGTATCAAACCAGTGACCTCTTGGTGCAGGGTCGACTCTCAGCCACTGAGCTATACCAGCTGGACCATGCTTATTGATTTTAGAGAGAGAAGGGGGAGAGGGAAAGAGAGAGAAAACATTGATGTGAGAGAGAAACATCAATCTGTTGCCTTCCCATATGCACCGTGACGGGATCAAAACTACAACTTTTGTTGTATGGGATGGTGTTTCAACCACTGAGCCACACAGCCAAGGGCAGGAGAGGGGAGAATTTTAATACCTGAATGCAGATATTAAAACATTTTGTTTTACTTATTTCTTAATTCTCACCTGAGGATATTTTCCATTGATTTTCAGATAGAATGGGAGGGAGGGAAGGAAAGAGAGAGAGAGAGAGAGAAACATTGACGTGAGAGAGACACCTCGACTGGTTGTCACCCGCTTGACCCCAACAGGGCCAGGGAGGAACCGCAGCCGAGGTATGTGCCCTTGGCCGGAATCGAACCCGGGACTTTTTGGCGCATAGGCCGATGCTCTAACCGCTGAGCCTAAGTGGCCAGGGTGAAAAAAACATTTTTTGTTGAAAATTTCGAAACATCAGAAAGAGGAATAGTAGAATAAATCATATGTACTCTTCGTACGTTGACAATGACCAGCGGTGAGCAGTCTTTCGATCTTGCTTCTGCTGTGCCACTCTGTCCCACCACCTCTTTCTACCTTGAAGCAAATTCCAAGCATTTCAGAGTAATTAAATATTCAGTGAGTGTTCAGAGGCCCCTGGCATTTCTGTCTCTCTTGCTACTGTTTGGCCCTCCTTTTTGACAGTTTGTTCTAAACCAGCCTCCAGAGAAAAACCATACTGTGACATTGGCTGACATTTCTTAAGTCTTGTAGTGGATAGCCTCAATTCTGTCCTTTGTTGTGTGAAAAATGTGTCCTTTGATAACAGAGTTTCTCTTGGTCCCAGTTCTCGGATGTTATCCCCATGGTGTTTAGCATAGTTCTCTGTTGCTGAGACTCTTTTTCTGTTGGGGGCTCGCTCAGATTCAGGTTCAATTGGGGTGGGGCAGGAGGAGCAAGAATACTTACTAGGTGGTGTTCAGAGGCCCACGGGGTCTGGTTGTTGACAGGAAGGAGATGGCCGGTCACTGCTGAGAAGTGGTCTGGCACCTGGGCCGGCATGGCCCCTGGCCCTGCGCTCTTCTGTCTTTCCCCTAGGAGAGAGTGTTTGCGGGAAACCAGACCGCGAGCTGCTTGTGTCATTTCTGAAATCCGGTCATATTTTATACTTTCAGGACATTTTAATTTGGACATTAAATTTTCATCAGGAATGCTTGATCTAAATTTATTTATTTATTTAATCCTCACCCAAGGACATTTTTGCATTTATCTTCAGGTAGAGCTGAAGGGAGAGAGGGAGGAAGACAGAAACATCGATGTGAGAGAGACACATCGAGTGGCTGCCACCCGCACGACCCCAGTCAGGGCCAGGGACAAACTGCGACCGAGGTACATGCCCTTATCGGGAACCAAACCCGGGACCTTCTGGTCTGCAGGCCGACGCTTTAACTGCTGAGCCAAACTGGCCAGGGCTTGATCTATAGTTAGACTTTATAAGGGTAGATTCATGTACCAGTTTGTTCTCTACATACTTAAAAGCTTTTCAGTAACTGAATAAAATACCCAGAAATTATTTTATTTATTTATATTTTCATTTTAAAAATTATTGATTTTAGAGAGAGAGGAAGGGAGAGGGAGAGAGAGAGATAGAAATATTGATGAGAGGGAACATCGATTGGCTGCCTCCTGCATGCCCTCCACTGGGGATTGGGCTCACAACCTGGGCATGTGTCCTGATTGGGAATCGAACTGGCGACCTCTTGGTGCATGGGTTGATGCTCAACCACTGAGCCACACTGGCTGGACTTCTTTCATTTTTTAAAATTTTTGTTTCATTATTATTATTATTATTTTTTAATCCTTACCTGAGGATATGTTTCCATTTATCTTTAGATAAAGTGGGAGGGACCGGGGGAGAGAGAGAAACATCAATGCGAGAGAGATACATCGACTGGCTGCCTCCTGCAGGACCCTGACCAGGGCCAGGGACCAAACCACAACTGAGGTATGTGCCCTTGACTGGATGGAACCTGGACTCTTTGGTCCACAGGCTGACACTTTAACCACCCAAAAAATTATTTTAAAATATTTTTTCTTTATTGATTTTAGAGAGAGGAAGGGAGAGGGAGAGAGAGAGAGAAACATCGATGAGAGAGAACATCAATTGGCTGCCTCCTGCATGCCCCTTACTGGGGATCAGGCCCACAACCTGGGCATTTGCCCTGACCGGCAATTGAACCCATGACCTCTTGGTGCATCGGTCAACACTCAACCAGTGAGCCACGCTGGCCAGGCCAAAAAATTATTTTAATAGTCACATCCACATCGATCAAACTGCTTTTTGTTATAAGTTTAGATTAGTTAAAACAGAGTTTTAGTTCCTTAGTTGACGGAGCCATATTTGAGCTGTTGGCATCATGTTGGACAGAACAGGCACAGAAGAAGGTGAAAAAATGCTCCTTGTTTGTCCTGAGACCTGAAAGTGTTGGGTTCAGGGACTGAGTGACTAGATTTGATAGAGGGGCCTGGTCCTGTGATGGGGACATGGATATTCCGAACCTGGCAGAGCCTTGTAACAGCTGTGTTGTAGACTGGCTTACAGAAGACTCGGGTTGTTGGCAACCAAGCCTGGAGATTCTGATTCGTCTCTCATTCTTCAGCGGAGATTCTCCAGGCAAATGACCTCCTCACCCAGGGAGTTCTGCTGTACAAACAGGTGATGGAAGGCCGTGTCATCTTTGGGAACACAGTGACCAGCGTGGTCGGAGACATACCAGTCTCCAGAGGTATGTGCAGAGAGCCTCTCCCTGCCCTCTGCCTGGGGGCAGCCTGCAGATCCCTTCTTCCCCTTTCCTGGGAGAACTAACTGCCACATGTACCATGATGAATTGACTGGCAGGCTGGACCCCAGCTTTGGCTGTAAACAGAAACAGGTGGCTGCACTGCACCCATGTTTAGATTTTTCTTTTCATGGGTGCTCACTTATGGGAGCTAGAGACCAAGAAAATGATCTTCAGTAGTTCCTGGTGCCAGGCTGGTGGCATCAGTATCATCTGGACGGCTGGTGAAAATGCAGACTCTTAGGTCCCTGGCTTGGGCCTTCTTAGTCAGGATTGCTTAGAACTAGGCCTGGTGTTTGCATGAAAAACAAAACAAAACATGTTTTTATTGCTTTTAGAGAGAGAGGAAGGGAAAGAGAGATAGAAACATGGATGAGAGAAACATTTATTGGCTGACTCCTGTGCACCCCCTACTGGGGATCGAGCCCACAACTCGGGCATGTGCCCTGACTGAGAATTGAGCCAGGACCTCTTGGTGCATGGGATGATGTTCAATCCACGGAGCCACACTGGCTGGGCTGGGTGTTAGCATATTTATCAGACCCTGCAGGTGGTTCTGATTAGCTGTGGTCAGGAGCCTCAGAAGGGCCTGAATTGGAGGATCCCGCTCTGCTGTCCAGGCTGAAGGGGCTGTCAGAGGAGGACTGGCTGCTGGGTGGGAAGGCAGTGCTCTTGTTCCCTCATTGCAGGTGCCAGCTCAGGTTGTGCGCCAAGCTCTCCCCTAGGTGAAGGTTCCGGGGTGTGATGATGTCATGTCTTGACTGGGAGGAGGCCCCAGAGAAGCTGGCAGGCTTTCAGTGGAGACTTTGCTCTTCTGACTGACTTGCCTTCCTAAATCTGTTTTCTAGTCATTCAGAATCCGACAGGCTGCACGAGGAACTGCCTGATTGACTTGGAGCTGGACAGTGGAGCTGATCAGGCTGGGACTGTGGCGCCATCTCTCCTCCATCAGGACCTGGCAGCCCTAGGTGAGGGTGGAGTTTGGGGAACAGGCACAGAATGGTCCTGGCTCAGGGACAGTGAGTAGCTGGCTCCCCTTGGGGAGAATGTGCTGATTTTAGAGGGGATTGGGTATGTTGGGAAGCTCAGAGAGGTCCTCTTGTCGCATCGTCTCTGGTTTGCCACGGATGAGGTGAATGTCTCTGGGTACTTGGCTTTCTGAGTGGTCTGTAAATGGTGGGCAGTCTCCAGCTCCCGTCAGGCTGAGTCACCGGTGTGCACCTCTGTTCCTTCCTTGTAGGAATCAGTGACGCTCCAGCTACCAAGGTAAGGAGGCTCTTCCCAGGGGCCGCAGAGGAGGGGGGGGGACACCGCTGCCTTAGGGAGAGGGCGCTACAGCATAGCCTGGGGGTGCTAGTACACTTGGAGGCCAAAGCCTCTTCCTCAGCTCTACTGTGTTCCCTGTGCCTCGACCCTCTTCAGTAGTACCCAGGCTCTGACTTACTGAAGGTCTATGTGGAGTCCTGTGCCCTAACCCTTTCTTGCCCTCCTGCTTCAGGCAGTGTAGTCAGCCTGGGCTGCAGTAGCTTTGGTGGGGTCAGGAGAGCTGTGCTGTGGTGTCGCCATGGCTCATTCAGACCCTGGCCTCAGTTTAGCCGTCCTGGTTTGGCAGGTTGCCGGGCAGAGTTACTGTAAGGAAAAGAGGAATCCTGCCAGCACGCTGCCCAGTGGCGGTGTTCAGAGCCCATCAGCAGAAAGGAGCTTGCTGGACCTGCTCTCCCCACAGCCTCCTTCAGGCCCTCTGTGAGTCTGCGGGCAGGGGAGGGGGTGAGGGCTCACTGCACGAGGGCTGGGGTGACCCTTGAAGAGTCAGACCTCTCTCTGCAGGGACTTCTTTGCTCTCCCTCTTCTCCTTTTACTCCCACCATAAGTCAGGAAAGGACATGCCTTGGCCAGGGCCTGGAGAGGGTTTGTTTAAGCAGTAGCAGCAGCAGGTAACATGTTTTTGTTGTTTGTAGGTTGAGGGTTTTTTTCTGATTATGATATAATAGGAAATTAAACAAAATTTGATTACTAGAGAAATAGTTAATATAGAAAGTACCAAATATCAACTCCTAAAGACAATGATGAGTGTTCCTTTGCTTTTTTTCTACACATGTAGCAATGTTATTGTTGCTTATTTTTACACAAATGGGGTCATAATTTATAAACTGTACTCCAGTGTGTTTTTTTTCATATCACATTATCTTTTTGAGAATTTGCATGTCACTATATAAATTTGCCTCATTCTTTCTAGTAGTTAGATAATGATTCTTATATGCACATATACACTTACTGAATCATTTCCCTCTTGTGGCTGGGCACTTGGAGTGATTAAGGTATAGGTTTCCTCGTCCTGGCCGGTTTGGCTCAGCGGTTAGAGCGTTGGCCTGCGGTCCAGAGAGACCCGGGTTCGGTTTCCGCTTAGGGCACGTACCTCAGTTGCAGTTTGTCCCCGGCCCTGGTTGGTCATGTGGGTGGCAGCCACTCAATGTGCCCTTTCACATCAGTGTTTTTCTCTCTCTCTCCCTCCCACTCTATCTGAACAAAAAATGGAAAAAATATCCTTGGATGAGGATAAAAAAAAAAAAGGTATAGGTTTCCTCGAAGGCCCTCTGAGCCATGAATATAAGCACATTCCCCGAGATCCTGTCCCTTTGCCTCTGGCAATATTGGAGCACTTTGCCTTCTCTCAACAGCTGAGTGCCCATGACCCCGGTGGAGTGAGACCATGGGGCTCTGGTGGCAGGGATGTGCTGGGAGGTGGTGCTTCCCACCCCCAGAGGGGCTCCTTCCCAGTTCACTCTCTTATCACTCCACGGGGGCCTGTCATCATTCTGATTTTGGTGCGTTACTTTGTCTGGACTTCGTTTTCCAAAAATATTTTCAATTTGTATTTCAAGTGGACAGAATCATAACGAAGTGTGAGTGAAGTGGTGCCTGTAATCTGTGTTGCCGTCTTCCTGGCACATCCCTCTGGTGATCATGTGGAGACAGCCTGACTGAGCTGCCTGTTGTCAGGGACTGCCTGACAGCTACAGTTAGTTACCTGACTGATAACGCTCCTTTATCGGGTCCTTTGTATGTCGCACATCCCACTGAGTGCTTTTCAGACGTTTGCTCGTTTAATTCTCACAACCCTCAGAAAACTGAGGCATGGGTGAAATTACTTGTCTAGAGACATATACCTCTAAAATACACACACGTGCTCACATATGCACAAATATATATATTTTTTTCTTTTTTCCCCTTTCTTATCTTGTTCTTAAGAAAGCCTAATCATAGATTCTAGGAATTCTTGCTAGTCTTGATATTTTAAAATTTCTTTGCAGGAATTATATTCCACAGAAAAGTATCCCCAAGGAAGTGCCACCAGGTACTAAGTCATCTCCGGGCTGGTCCTGGGAAGCTGGTCCATTGGCTTCGTCCCCATCTTCCCAGAATACACCTCTGGCTCAAGTGTTTGTCCCTTTGGAGTCTGTTAAGCCCAGTAAGTGCAGTTTCACCCTTTTTTTTCTTTCTTTCTATTAGATGCTCAGCTTTATCCCGTGTGGATTTGTAGGGATGGCTCTCGAACTGGAGAAGATAGTGGTGGAGATTGTGCCTCAGGGAAGATGATAAGGAGGCAGTTTCATGTCCCTTAGCTGATACTTTCGTTAATGTTTTCTCTGTCTCGGGTGGGTGCTGTGAAAGATATTGGCAGGCAGAATTTAATTAGAGGGGTTGAATCTGCTTAGGCACATGATATTCATTTAGAATTCCAGAAGGGAATGTCCGGTTTGGCCTGAAATGACTCAGAAGAGATGGAATTAGAAGGAAAGGGAGGAACTGACTGGTCAGCCTCTTCCTCTGAGGATCCTCTACAAGGCAGGAAAGTAGATATTACCCCTTCTCACAAAGGAAACTGAAGGCCCGCTAAGTAAGGTGACTGCCTATGGCCAGCACTAGTGTATGAGCAGGAAACAGCTGAGCTTTAGATCTGAGGCCTGGCCCTGTTCTCTGGCACAGAGCCCTGCTGTGATTGGTGAGATGAGGCCAGACTGCAGAGGGCCCTGGCACCAGGCAGAGGAAGTTAAACAGTTAGTAACTAGTAGGAGTTCTTTACACACTTAACTTTATTAAATTTTTTTTTTATCCTCACTAGAGGACATTGTTTTGCATTTATCTTCAGATAGAGTAGGAGGGGGGCGGGGAAGAGAGAGAGAGAGAAACATGGATGTGAGAGACACATCAACTGGTTGCCACCCACACGACCCCGACTGGGGCCGGGGACAAACTGCAACCGAGGTACGTGGCCTTTGTGAGAACTAAACCCGGGACTCTCTGGTCCACAGGCTGACGCTCTAACTGCTGAGCCAAACTGGCCAGGGTACTTTGTTAATTTTTTTTTTTTTTAATATGTACATCACATGTTTTTATTTTTATTTATTTAATCCTCACCCAAGGACATTTTTCCATTTTTTGTTCAGATAGAGTGGGAGGGAGAGAGAGGAAGAGAGAGAGGGAAACATCGACATGAAAGGGACACATCGAGTGGCTGCCTCGCAAACAACCCAACCAGGGCCGGACACAAACCGCAACTGAGCTATGTGCCCTTAGCGGGAACCGAACCCGGGTCTCTCTGGACCTCAGGCCGACGCTCTAACTGCTGAGCCAGGGCCACTTTGTTAATTTTTTATTTAAAAATAATCCATGTTCTCCCTGGCCGGTTTAGCTTAGCAGTTAGAGAAAAATATCCTCGGGTGAGTATTCAAACAAAACAAGACAAAACAAAAAAACAGTGCTATAGCCCTGGTCAGTTTGGCTTGGCAGTTAGAGCATCAGCCTGTGGACCAAACAGGTTCCATTCCCAGACCCATGTGGAAGGCAACTGATCCATGTTTCTCTCTCTCTTCCTCCCTCCCTCTCTTCCACTCTCTCTAAAAATCAATGGAAAAATATCTTTGGATGAGGATTAATAACCAAACACACACAAATAACAGTGCTACAATGAACATTTTCAAAACCTATTTTTTAATTTTTTTTGTGATTTACTTTTAAGTTTTAAAAATTGATTGATTTGAGAGAGAAAAACACCGATTCATTGTTCCACTTATTTATGCATTCATTGGTTGATTTTTGGGTGTGCCTGACCTTGGCGTATTTGAGCGATGCTCTAACTAGCTCAGCTACCTGGCCAGGGCCTAGGCACATGTTTTTTAAATATGTTTTTATTGATTTTTATAGAGAGGAAGAGATAGGGAGAGACAGAAACATTTATGAGAGAGGAACGTTGATTGGCTCCTGCACCCTTCCTACTGGGGATCACTGAAACCTGGGGAATGTGCTCTGACCAGGAATTCAACCAGGACTCCTCAGTCCAAGGCACGATGCTGAATCTTGGCAATTTCATTGTTAACTATATATTTTTTTAAGTGTTTTTATTGTTTTTTTTTTTTTTAGAGAGAGAGGGGAAGGGAGAGGGAGAGAGAAACATTGAAGTGAGAGAGAAATACCGATTGGCTGCCTCCTGGGGATTGAGCTTGAAACTGGAGCATATGCCCTGATCAAGAATCAAAATGGTGACCACTAGGTCCATGGGACAACACTAAACCAACTGAGCCACACTGGCCAGGGCTTATTTTTTGGTGTTAATCCTCACCCGAGGATATTTTTCCATTGATTTTTAGATAGAGGAGGGGGGGAGGGGGAGAGAGAGAGAAACATTGATGTGAGACAGAGACATGTTGCTTGGTTGCTTCCTGCATGACCCCGACTGGGGCCTGGGATCAAACTTGCCACCCAGGTATGTGCCCTTGACAGGAATTGAACCCAGGACCCTTCAGTCAGTGGACCGACGTTCTAATCACTGTGCCAAACTGGTGAGGGCTTCATTGCATTTTTATATTTGCATTTTGGTAAGTGATGGTTGTATGAAACAAGGATTCATTAAAATTTTTTCCAGCCCTGGCTGGTTTGGCTCAGCGGTTAGAGCATTGGCCTGCAGTCCAGAGAGACCCGGGTTCAGTTCCTGCTAAGGGCGTGTACCTCGGTTGCAGTTTGTCCCTGGCCTTGGTTGGGTCATGTGGGAGGCAGCCACTCTATGTGTCCCTTTCACGTTGATGTTTCTCTCTCTCTCTCTTCCTCTCTCTCCCTCTTACTCTATCTGAACAAAAAATGGAAAAATGTCCTTGGGTGAGGATAAAAAAGTGAATAAATAAAATAAAAATGTTTATTGTGTTTCTGATACAATTTGTTAATGTTAAAAAAATTTTTCTTTTCTCGATCATTAGCCAGGTATCTGCTGTTTATTAATCAGCCACCAGTTTTGTTTATTTTTTAATTTTTATTTATTTATTTATTTTTTATCCTCATTCGAGGACATTTTTCCATTTTTTTGTGTTCAGGTAGAGTGGGAGGGAGAGAGAGGAACAGAGAGAGAGAGAGAAACATCGACGTGAAAGGAACACATCGAGTGGCTGCCACCCGCACAACCGACCAGGGCTGGGGACAAACTGCAACCGAGGTACACGCCCCTAGCGGGAACCAAACCCGGGTCTCTCAGGACCGCAGGCCGACGCTCTAACCACTGAGCCAAACCGGCCAGGGCTATTTTTAAATTTTTTTTTAATTGAATTTTTAGAGAGAGAGAGATAGAAACATCGATTGGCCGCCTCTGGCATGTCCCCCACTGGGGATTGGGCCCACAACCTGGGCATGTGCCCTGACCGGGAATCAAACTGGCGACCTCTTGGTGCATGGATCGACGCTCAACCCATGTGTGCCACACCATCTGAGCAATCAGCCACCAGTTTTGAAATATGTGAAATCCTCACATTTGGGTCTGTCCAGCATGCTTAGTTTATACCACTTTTTTTTGAATTGCTATTTTGTACATATCTGAGTACTTGTTAATGCAAATAGCTATACTTCTCTCTCTCTCTCTTTTTTTTTTTTTTTTTTTTTTACGGTTTGGCTCATATTTTGTACCCTGGCCTCCTCCCAAATTAGCTTTAGAATAATTTTATAGCTACATTAAAACAATCACTTTATGATTTCTATTGGAATGCCATTAAACCTATTAATTTGAAGAAATCTGCTATCTTTACAGTTTTCTGAAGTTAAATATAGGAGGGATATGTGTGTAGTCATACACAGGAGGCCTTAGGAGAACAGGTCCAGATGTCAGCAGTGCTTATTTCTGGGTAGAATTAGGGGTGTTTATTTATTTTTTCATCTACGGGTGTGTGGTGTTTTTTTTCTAATTTTCTTCTTTGATATCCTGTATTTTCCATAGTGTTCATACATTTTAATCATAATCATATCTCCCTTTTGAGAAGTTCTTAGTTAGCCCTGGTCGGTTTGGCTCAGCAGTTAGAGCATCAGCCCACAAACCAAAGGGTCATGGGTTTGATTTCTAGTCAATGGTATGTACCTGTGTTGCAGGTTCAATTCCCAGCCCCAGTTGGGGTCATGCGGCAGGCAGCCAATTTATGTGTCTCTCACATTGATGTTTCTCTCTCTCTCTCTTTTCCTCCCTTTCTTTCTTCCAATCTATCTAAAAATCAATAGAAAAATATATCCTAGGGTGAAGATTAACAAAAAAAAGAAAAGAAAAAGTTCTAATTTTAGAAAATCACCTGGTAATATGTTTAGGACGGTTGGATGGTGGGAGAGGTCAGTTTGGAGGGTCACAGGTGTCCAGCTAGAAGTATGAGGACTTGGATTACAGCAGTGCAGCGGGTTAATACCAGGGGATGCGCTGGGGGAGCGACAGCGTTTGGTGAGAACGAGCTCGTCTCCTTCAGGCCTGGCTGCCTGGAGACTGTGGCAGTGTTAACTGTGGTCGGGCCCTTCTCTACCAGGCAGCCTGCCTCCGATCATCGTGTACGACCGGAATGGATTCCGAATTCTGCTCCACTTTTCCCAGACGGGGGCCCCTGGCCACCCTGAGGTGCAGGTCCTGCTGCTGACCATGATGAGCACTGCCACCCAGCCTGTCTGGGACATCATGTTTCAGGTGGCCGTGCCAAAGGTGAGCTATCCACTGGCCAGATCCTTTGGGTTTGCCAAAAAAGGCTGTCATTTCTGAGCATCAGGTCCTTTGCTGGGACATTGTCTATTAGCTAAGTGGAACGACAGAATCTTCACTCAAAGTAGTTGCAGGTAAAATGGGAACTTGACTGGCTCATTTTACTGGGGATTCCTGAGGTCTGTATCCAGGCAGTTTTTTAGATGATTCTTGGAGAATCTGCCTCTTCCCACCTGCTGCTGACTGCTTTCCTCTGTTCTCTGACGGCCTTCCCAGAGCAGGAGAATGGTGCCAGCAGCTCCAGAATCACATGTTCCTAACCTTTCTGTTTCAGAGACACTGGCCTGTGCTGTGCCCCTGAAAGTCACAAATAGTAATGAATGTAGTCTATGCCTGAAAAATCAAAAAACTATTTATTTTAAATTAAATAATGAATATGGAAGGGGAAAAAAAAGAAAAAAGGGAAGGAAGAGTCCTTGTCATGTGGCTCAGTTGGTTGGAGCATTGTCCTTTACACCAAAAGGTTATAGGTTTGATTCCCTGTCAGTGCACATGCCTAGGTGGCAGGTTCAATCCACAGTCAGGGCATGTATGGGAGGCAACTGATTGATGTTTCTCTCTCACATCAATCTCTCTCTCTGTTCCTCCCTTTTTTTCTCTCTAAAATCAATAAAAACATATCCTTGGGTGAGTATTAAAAGAAAAAAAAGGCCCTGGCCGGTTTGGCTCAGCAGTAGGAGCGTCGGCCTGCGGTTCTGAGAGACCTGGGTTTGGTTCCTGCTAAGGGCACGTGCCTCGGTTGTGATTTGTCCCTGGCCCTGGTTGGGTCGTGCGGGTGGTGGCCACTTGATGTGTCCCTTTTGCGTCCATGTTTCTCTCTCTCAAAAAAAAAAAGAAACTCATCTGAGGCATGTGGATTGAGTGCCCAAGAAACGATTGTCGCTGTGGTGTTCCTTGCGTACCTAGGCAGTAACTTATGTTCAGGGATATGAGGTACTCTGGCCAATCTGGATATTAGGGCCACCCCTTTACAAGGGGAGTAGGGCCCCACAGATTAACAGCCATACTAGAATCACAAGAACTGGGGAAGGGGCATGTCCTGAAAGGGAAGATTAAAGGAAGACAAAGATACACATTTTTTATCTTTTCTTTTTATCCTCACCCGAGAACATTTTTCCATTTTTTTTGTTCAGATATATTGGGAGGGAGAGAGAGGAAGAGAGAGAGAAACATCAACGTGCTTTAACCACTGAGCCAAACCGGCCAGGCCAAAGATACACATTTTTAAAAAATCTTAAAAATTTTTATGGATTTTAGACAGGAAGGGAGAGGGAGTGAGAGAGAAACATTTATTTGTTGTTCCACTTATTTATGAATTCATTGGTGGATTCCTTTTTAAAAAAATCTTCATCCAAAGATATTTTTCCATTGATTTTTAAGGGAGGGAGAGAGAGAAACAGAAACATTGATGTGAGAGAGACACATTGATAGGTTGCCTTCCATATGTGCCCCGACTGGGGTTTGAACCTGTAACCCAGGTACATGCCCTTGACTGGGACTAAAACCCACAATGCTCTAACCACTGACCGACACTAACCAGGGCTTCATTGGTTGACTCTTGTATGTGTCCTGACCGGGAATTGAATCCACAACCTTTGCCTATGGAGATGATACTCGAACCAACTGAACTTCCTGGCCAGGGCCAAGATACGCATTTTCTAATCCTTATGTTGGTGAAGCGGGGCACGTGCTATTGTTACTTCTGTTTTGTAAATTATTAGTCTAAAGCTCAGAGAGGCTAAACGTTGTGCCCATGTCACAGAGCTAGTCAGAGGCAGAGCTGGAGTTCAGCCCAAGGTGTGCCCTCACTGCGTGTGTGCCTCTGAGAGCCCAGCACTGACACCGCGTCACACACGTTCTGTGTGTGGGAGGATCGGTCTCTGGGATCCTGACATCAATTGGTGGGGTGCAGGTCAAGCTCTCCTGTTCACCTGATCTCCTTGTTGAAGCTGTCGTTTACTAGGAATGAATATGGTGTATTTCCTGTCCCCCGTAGTCAATGAGAGTGAAGCTGCAGCCGGCATCCAGCTCCCAGCTCCCAGCATTCAGTCCTTTGACGCCTCCAGCTGTGATCTCTCAGATGCTGCTGCTTGACAATCCACACAAAGTATGTTCTGGTGTCTTTCACAGCAGGGAGGTGGGGCCCTGAACTGGAGGGTGGCAGCGTGGTAGGTAGAGAGAAGCACATTGAGGTCTTCCTCTGAAGTCTCTGGGTGGTTGGGAGTGGAGGTAGACTGTTTCCTAGTAGTGTGTGTTTTCCTCTGGGGCTTGTTGAAAGAAGACCTGTGACCAGATTATTGTGGCTGGGAGCCCAGGAAGTGACACAGACTCTCCCCAGTGGGAGGAGTCCTTGGACAACCGGCAGGCCTCACCCTTTCAGAGGACTCCTCCCATGAGGGAGAGCTCAGGTTCCTCAAGTGGGGAGGACTTCCGGGATGTGTGCTGGCTTCTCTCGTGTCTGTAGTCCCAGGGCCTAGGCCAGGGGGTTCCTGTCACAGCTGTGTGAAGCCCTCGCCCGGGTCCAGGTAACATGCACATGCTGTTCCTGGGTCACCCCTGGGTGGCGAAAGGTTTTTATTTTGTGTCGGTCTCTCTGTTGCTCCTCACTAATTTACCATCTTATATCTTTGCCCAGGAGCCAATCCGGTTACGGTATAAGCTGACATTCAACCAGGGCGGACAGCCTTTCAGCGAAGTAGGAGAAGTGAAAGACTTTCCAGACCTGGCAGTCTTGGGTGCAACCTAACTTTTCACAAGACAAACTCTGCCGTTCAAGTGTGGGCAGTGTTACCTGTGCTGCCAAATGGGACTAATCCTGGCGACCGAGTGCAGAGTTCCAAGTTCTGTCTGATTCAGGCTCCAGATGCCAGCCTCTTGTTCTGTAGAGTGTGTGTGCGTGTGCGTGTGTGTTGTAGGGGGTTCATGGGAGGGTGGAACAGAACTTGGGGTGTGGGCAGTATGGGAAGTGCAAAAGCCTTTCTGATGACCACCCGCCACGAGCATATCTGTTTCTGTATGTTTGGACACTGGTCTCCCTGCCTCAGGTTGGACGTTTTATAAGCCAAAGCTGTTGTTGTTTTCATATATTACTTTTTCATTCATCCACTTTGTGCCTTGCCAGCCTTTTAAAGTCTTGGTTGCTCCCAGGCTGCTGATCTCAGGGACCTTAAAAGGGACTGAGTTGGTCTTGGGGCAGAGAGTGTCTTCTGGGGCACTCTCTTTCAAGAAAGACTTTGTCTCCATTTCCATTAGAGAATGCTGCTTGCACATGTTCCGGAAGATCTCAATGGAATGCTTGTGCTGTTTTCCAGGCGAGGGGCTGCCACTAGACCACAGGGCCATACTCGGTGGGCCAGTCATGTCCTTCACCACTGTGCCTTAGAGTCACCCATGGAGGGACCTTCCAGGGCAGAGGGGAAAGCACATCCCGGGCCTCGGGTTCCATGGGTTGTGCAGCCTGTTTGGGCCTATACTCAGGACCCTCATCTCTATCCTCATCCTCTTCCTCCACAGGCATTTACTTAGAGCCCTCTGTGACCCAGAGCCAGTCACTGTAAATCATAGCTAACAGGCTTCCCCTGGTCTGTTGCCTTCACAACCCAAGATGAAGAACTGTGATGCAAATAGGTATGGAAAGAGCTTAGCAGTGATTTAAGTGGTGACTAAATAGAGAAAGTCATTGAATAAATACCTGTGTAGCAAATATACTTCGTGGAGTTTTGAGTAAGTAGGAGATGCAAACCCATTGCATTTAGAGATGAGAGGCCTAAAGGGAACCGTCGTCACTTGAAGTAAGGAAGACTTCATGAAGGATGTAGAACTGGAACTGTTTCGGTGAAGAGAGAAGCCCCAAGGATCTGCACAACGCTGGAAAAGAGATGTGGATTTTCGTTAGGTTCGTGGTTCGAAGGAAAATGCAGGTGTACAATCAATACTCTGCTCCAGTTCTGTGCTGGGCACTTTGTACTCGTTTGACAGCCCCCTTGGCCTGCTTGGGCGAAGAAAGCTGACCCTGCTGTGATGGTCTGCTGAAGGGCTGAAATCTCCGCGGCTCGCCTGTCTGGCAGGGTTCTGCCTCAAACTGCCAGCTCTGTGGGGCTTTTTATCACAAAACCTGGCCCTCCACAGCCTGATCTTTCAACAGCTCCATCTAGTGAGAAATCTGCCAATACTAATTGGTGGGGAAGGAAGGGTGCTGTAATTTTTAAGCAAATGTGAAAACTCATAAAACAAATGATGGGGTGATTTCTTCATTTGGCATAATGCACGTAAGATTCATTTTAATCTAAAGTTACTTTTACGTTCACATGCTAGGTATCGTTTTTATAGGCTCAAGCTATTTCATGGTCTGTATGACAGTGTCGGCCTAGGAAGAAGTTCCATCGAGATGTGTGAACGAGACACATGTCATTTGGAGGTGGACTCATGTTTGTGTCTGAACCTTCTCTGTCTTCTGGCATTGGTGCTCTGCTTAGGTTGAGTGGACAGGATAAGGGGGTTGAGGGTGGGGATCCTGAATGTAGCCCTGATCTATGTTATTAGTGCTTTCTTATTATCAAGTTCAGTGACCACTTAAGGCTTAGCCCTTATCCTCTTATTCACTCAAGTGCTTGACCAGCTATGAGGCCGACACTTGTAGATCCTGCAGATACAGCAGTGCGAGTCCCTGCCCTGCACTTTCTGTGCTAGTGTGGAGAGAGAAATCCGTATGACCTGGTGGAGATGATCAGTATTTTCCCTGTCCTGAACTCATCCAGGATCCTGCTCCCCTCTAGTTCTTGACCTACCTCTGACTGTTCCTCTCCTTTTGTCCCTTAAGTGTGTTTCTCCAGGGTTTAGTCCTTAGGACTTTGCAAGCGTATGGGGGCAGATAACCTCTAGATGGGTCCTAGACCTCTTTCCCAGCTTCCATCTTCATGCTGACATCAGATCCATGTTTCAGGCCGGCAGTGGACCTCTTAATCTGGAGGTTCCACTGTTGCCTCAAATTCAACGTTCGGAATGGAACCAGCCTCCTCTCTGTTTCCACCTACATTTTCTTTGATTGGAAAGCATCTATCTGAGTCTTCATGGACCCTTCTTTCCTGCTCCATCCGTTCCACTCGGTACTCTATCTCTAGTCTTTCTTTCAAAATACCACCACAGCTTGCTCTCTGCTGCATTCTCATTAGTTGCCTGCCTCTCAGTTCCCTGAGCCATGATACTTGCCACCACCAGAATTCTCTAACAAATTTGAGTACTGGATCCCCTGCTGGAAAATTCTGGGTAGTTCTTAATGCCTGAAAAGCCTGTGCAATCAAATCCAAGATGCTTATGCTGGCATTCAGTGCCCGTCACTGCACCCTACCCACTGGCATCGTCTGACAGAAACAGCACACTTTCCGCAGCCACAAGAGTTTGCCATGTTTTGATGTTTTCTCCTGTCTTTCTTGCCACATCTGCCGTTAATCCCTCCCGTTGTTTCTTCAGTGAAAGTAAAATGCTGCTTTATCTGTGTGTCACTGAGCATAAATGGACTATGGAGATACTAAATGTTGAAAACAGGATAAATGACTTGCCCTGGCCAGTTTGGCTCAGCGGTTAGAGCATCGGCCCACGGACCAGAGAGACCCGGGTTCGGTTCCTGCTAAGGGCACATTGGTTGCAGTTTGTCCACGGCCCTGTTTGGGGTTGTGTGGGTGGCAACCAGTCGATGTGTCTCTCTCACATCGATGTTTCTTTCTCTCTTCCTCCCCCTCTCTGCCCGCTCTATCTGAAGTTAAAAATGCCAAAATGTCCTGGAGTGGGGATAAAAAAAAAGAAAAAAAAGGATAAATGACTTAAGAACCAAAAGAACACGAGTACTACTCATTAAAAATAATGTAAGTTGAGTGGATACGCAAGGTAGAACGCAGAGGCACTATTCTAAAATGCAAAGTGCTGGACTGCCACAGTGTTTACAAGTCAAATTCTTTAAATACATTCCTATATAGCAGACACCAACTCAAAACTATAAAATTCTGTCAACTAGGTGTGCCTTTTTCTTTTTAAACTAAGAAAACAGCCTGGCTGGTGTGGCTCCGTGGATTGAGCATCGACCCATGGACAAGTCCCAGTTTGATTCCTGGGCAGGGCACATGCCTTGGTTTCAGGCTCGAGTCCCAGCCGGGGGCGTGCAGGAGGTAGCCCAATGATGATTTTCACATCAATGTTTCTCTCCCTTTCTAAAAAAATAAGAGCATATAAAAAAGAAAAGAAATAAAACTGTAGGGTTGTGTCCTGCAATACTAGCTTTTTTTTTTAATCCTCACTGAGGACATTTTTCCATTTTTTGTTCAGATAGAATGGGAGGGAGAGAAGAAGAGAGAGGGAGAAACATCGACACGAAAGGGACACATTGAGTGACTGCCTCCTGCACGACCCAACCATGGCCGGGAAAAACCAACCAAGGTACATGCCCTTAGCGGGAACCGAACCTGGGTCTCTGGACTGCAGGCCAAACCGGCCACGGCTAGCTTTTTTTTCTTTTTTAAGGTACAGCTTAAAGTGTCACTTCGTCTGGAAAGAGATGGAGCCAAGTAAGGACAAAGCAGGCAAGTCCTCAGGTAAGGCACACTTAATGTCGCTCAGAGTGAAAACAGGCCTTTTGCTGCCCTTGTCCTATGTAATCCCAATTCTACCATGTTCACTCAGAGATAGTTTGCACTTTAAAAAGTGTAAACATTCTGCGCCTTTGATTTTTATTCTTGAATACTTCATCTCACTTTTAGAAGTATTTTAAAGTTGAAGCTGAAAAACATACTTTAGTGTGGCGGTTCTCAACCTGTGGGTCATGACCCCTTTGGTGGTCGAACAACCCTTTCACAGGGGTCACCTAAGATATAACAGTAGCAAAATTACAGTTATGAAGTAGCAACGAAAATAATTTTATGGTTGGGGGTCACCACAACATGAACTGAATTAGCAGGAACTGAACCCAGGTCTCTCTGGACTGCAGGCCGATACTCTAACCGCTGAGCCAAACCGGCCAGGGCAAACAACATGAACTGTATTAAAGGTCGTGGCTTTAGGAAAGCTGAGGACCACTGTTTAGTGTTATGGCCCAGATACTTAGGCTTTTAGTCTGAGGTCTTCTAAGCCCCAACAGTGTGAAATAAGTCAACCCTTATTTATAATTCTGTTCGGCTTCACCACTGCCTCTGCTTAGCCATGTGACAGGACAAGTGATTTATCCTCTTCAGTGTCCTCTCCTGTCGAGTGGATAGTAGGATTGTTTATATTTTTAGAATTAAACAAGTTAATATATGTAAAGTGACTATAATACCACATGGCACTTAGCTAAGACATTTCATTTGCTCTTAGCCTGTCCACCTGGCTTCCAGTACAGGAAAAGACTTGCCTTGCTCAGAACTGTTTAAAGTTTACCTCATAAAATAAAACAAATATTTAAAATTTTGGTGAGGTTCAAATTAATACTGATAAACCGTAAATGCCAAAAGGTACAAGACAAGTATATAAAAATTGTACTTCTATAACAAGAAACTTGAAATCGTTAAAATTTCTATTCACAATAGCATTAAAATGAATACAACACTTTGGAATACATTTTAACAAAGGTACAAGACATTTACAATGTACAACTACAAGATACTGCTGAGAGATATCTAAATTGGAGGTCCTTAACGGGGGGGCTGTTCTCACTAGGGACACTTGGCAATGTGTGGAGACATTTCTGGTGGTCACAATAGGGGAAGGTCGCTGCTGCCCCCTAGTGGGTGGAGGCCAGGGATGCAGCTGAACATTGTACGATGTATAGGGCAGCCCCCACAACAAAGAATTAATCTGGCCCCAAATGTCAACAGCACCAAGGTTGAGAATCCTGATCTTAGTGAGTGGAGAGGCATTTCATGTTCATGGATTGGAAGACAATATCGTCAAGATGACAATTCTCAAATTGAGCTATATATCAATTGTGGCCCAATGATTAGAGTGTCAGCCTGTGCACTGAAGGGTTTCAGGCTTGATTCTCAGACAAGGACACATACCTGGGTTGCAGGTTCTATCCCAGGCCCCGGTCGGTTGTGTGTGGGAGGCAACCAATCGATGTGTCTCACATTGATGTTTCTCTCCCCCTCCCACTTGCTCTAAAAAGCAATGGAAAAAATATCTTTGAGTGAGGATTTAAAACAACAACAACAAAAATCAATATAATCCATATTCCAGCAGCAGCTTTTGCAGAAATTGGTAAACTAATCATCCAATGCATGTGGAAATACAAAGGGTCTCAAGTAGCAAATTAATTTTTTAAAAGAACAAAGTGGAAGGACTTACACTACTGGATTTCAAAAAGTACTGTAAACTATAGTAATCAAAACAGTTTGGCCCTAGCCGGTTTGGCTCAGCAGTTAAAGCATCAGCCCGCAGTCCAGAGAGACCTGGGTTCATTTCCCGCTAAGGGCACGTACCTCGGTTGCAGTTTGTCCCTGGCCCCAGTTAGGGTTGTGTGGATGGCAACCAGTCAATGTGTCTCTCTCACATTGATGTTTCTCTCTCACACTTCCTCCTTCTCTCCCTCCCACTCTACCTGAGGATAAATGAAAAAAATGTCATTGGGTGAGGATAAAAAATAAAAATAAAAAGTTTAGTATTGGTACAAGAAGAAACAGATAGCAGAACAGAATGAAGAGTCCAGAAATGCTTACATTATGTCATTTGATTTTTGACAAAGATCTAAAGGCAATTTATTGGAGAAAGAAAAAGTCTTCAACAAATGGTCCTGGGACAACTGTGCGCGTGCACACACACACACACACAAATGCATTTACCGTTACCTCATACCATATACACACAAAAATGAACTCAAACTGGACCACAGACTTAAATGTAAGAGCTAAAACTTTAAGACTTCTAAAAGTCTTCAAGATTTTGAGTTAGGTAAAGACTTCTTTCCTGCTTCTTGCATATCTTACTTTTAAAAAACTATATGCCTGTAATCGGTGATTGAACCCACAACCATACTGGATGATGCCCTAACCAACTGAGTTAACTGGCCAGGGTGAATATCTTTTTTAAAATATTAAAAAAATTTTTTTAATCTTCACCCCAAAATATTTTTCCATTTATCATCCGATAGAGTGGGAGGGAAGGAGACAGGGAGAGAGAGAGAGCGAGAGGGAGAGAGAAACATCAATGTGAGAGAGACACATTGACTGGTTGCCTCCCACACACCCTGACCAGGACCGGGGATGTGCCCTTGACCAGAATCGAACCCAAAACTCATTGG